CGGCTAATTAACGTACTTCGGTCGTAGAGCCAATTTACTGTGAAGGACTATCACGCTGAGGCTACATATGCCCGCTTGTATAAGTGTGCTAAAAATAGTAAAAAACAATAAATAATAAATTCTGTGAGTAGGGTGATGAGTACAATGTGACGTATGGTCAATAGTAAAACTGACTTTTTGATTATAAAAAAAGATAATAATAATAAATAGACCATAGGCACAAAATAAATATGTGCAGTATTTAAAAATTAAATATTTCTGAAAATAATAATTTTTTTTCGTTCTTGTTATCCTGCGAATATTAAACATCAAAAATTTAAAAATATAGTAAATGCATTAATAATTTAAAATATTGAATTTTGACTACTAAAATGTTTTATTGTCCTTGATAGCCTTGAATGAAATATTAACAAAATAGCAATAATGACTCCCTTTGAATTTGAGTTGTAGAAATATTTTATAAATTAAAATGAAAATTTCCCTTGCTCGAGATCTATATCAGAGGAAGTCTTTTAGTTCCCAAATTTCTCCTTTCGGCCGTGCAATTACCAATTATGACCCAAAGTATATAGTTAAAGCTAGGAAAATGTAAATTTCGTCCAAAAAAAATTTTTTTTGTCCTTGGTATTTTTCGATTTTCTAATATAGAAATATTTTTTACAAAAAAAAAAAAAATCGACATACCTCATCAACAACGTGTTTCACTTTCTCAACTACTTAGGAGACATTTAAGACATTGGAAAAACATCTTTAATTGGAAAAAGTACACCAGTGCTTATCTTTCGGGCCATTTTCACTCGAAAACATAGAGTTCTTGAATATAAAAATAGGGCTTTTATTGTATTGTTGTATTAAAATTATAAATTGTTATATTAAAATTAAAAAAATACTTCTGATATTTAATGTCTGAACCATATTCGGCAATAAAATTAAAATCTTACAAAAAAAATAAAAATATTTTTAACCGAACTAGCAGAGCATTTCTTCCTAATTGGATCGAAAATGGTTCAGAAATATATATATAAATATCTCGACTTATGCCTCACCATAGCAGTTTAAAGTCTGTTTCCAGCTGGACTTCTAAGAAGTATTCCAGAATGAGGTTATCTGTTTAGGTTTCTCCCAGAATCAAATCATTGGTTAACAAAAAAGACAAAATTTCTTTCTTGAACGGTCTTTGGTTTCCTTGGGGCGGTTGGTCTTTAAAAAGACTAGTTTACTGTCGGTTATATTCACTATAGTTAAGCGATTGTTTATCAAGATCTCGTCTATGCATCTACTTCATAAATCTACCTCGGCTAGTTTTACTTAAGCTTCCCAATTGTTTGAGTGACAGAACCAGGTCTATATCTACAACTATAAACCACTCCAGATACTTCCGGATCTGTTTTTTTGGCGAATTTAGGAGAGGAAAGATTGCAACGTGACCCTCTGGACTTAATCCATCCCCCATAAAATTTAGCGTGATCGAAATATTTGTCTTATTTTGTTTTAAAAATTATGCTAAGTATTTGAGTGTGTCCTTAGTACTTCACAACACTCTATTTTCATGCATAAACAATTCGTGGAAATAACAATTTTAATTAAAAAGGTTAATTTTAGAATAAAGTGGACTTCTTCAGAAATATGTACATACTAACAATGTGTAGAAAAAAATCTAATAAACAACTAAACGTAACACACAAGTACTACTTATGAAATACTTAATATCCTGCCGTCCTGAATGAAATGTCAAAGGTCATGCGCTACTACACGAAATCCAACGAAATAAAGCGTAAGAGAAAAAGAGAGTAAAACTGATGTGAGAGTGCGAGCTAGTGAAGGGAGTATAACATAGAAAATTAAGAAACAAACAAAACAATTAAAAGTGTAGCCAAAAGAGTGTGTATAAAAACAAGTAAATCTGTGAAGCAACAATTGTGCGAAAAGGGAAGAAGTGAAATAAACAGAAGGTAAACAGAAGCCAAGCTGAAGAAAGAGCAAATGAATTACGTAGTAACGAGAGTGAATATCGCGAAAAGCGCGAGAGTTGAGCGCAAGGATTCGTGAGATGTGAGAAGCAAAAGATGAACAAGTAAAAAAAAATAATACTAATCACAAATTACGCACCTCAAGATTATAATACAAAAATATTCATACTCAACTCGAAGCTTTCTTAAGAAAAAAAAAAAAAAAACACTCAACACAACCTTCACATTTTACATCAACCTAATCCACTCCGTAAGTTGGACCCAGCAAACCTTCAGTCTGGGGTTCGTTAAACGTAAAAGTTCCTCTGCGGAGAGCATCGCCTTTGCGACAGTCGGTGAGTGTAATTACGGTGGTGCAGCTGAAGGTGGTGGCAGTGGCGCTGGCGGTGGCCCTTCAACCTCAACGTCGTGCTATCGCGTGGGGCGGCGTAAGAGTAGCGCTGAGGAGCAGGCAACACGTCGTCAGAATCGTATACGAGAACGTGAGCGTGAGGCGGAGGCACGTCGTCGACGGCGTGACACAATGTCCTTTCGCAATGTTTATCGTGCGCTGCGTATGCGTTTGAGTAGTAAGCGATATTTACAATTTCTTTTTTTTTTTTTTTTGTATGCTCATAACTATTTCTTCTGTGATGATTTTTGTTATTATTCTATGTTTACTGTATAGTGTTCTGCTTGGGTTATGTGTAATTATTGTATCAAGTTTCAGCGTCAGATTTTCACTTTGTTTAGTTGGTAAGAATTTTATTTTTAGTGATTACTTATTTAGTTATACTCACAGTAGTGGCTGGCATAAGGATTTTTAATCGTTTATTTTAGAATTTAATTTTTCTTTGAAAATTATTTCAGTTAGTCAAGCCAAAATATATACTTAAAATATAATTTTTTTTCAAACTATCTTGCGTACTTTAAGAGCAACTTATCTCATGGTAAACCTATCTCCCATTTAATCAATAAAGTTGGATTCCTAAGCAATGACCAACGTTTTAGCGGTACATTGACTGTGCCCTATCGACGGGAGCTTAATAAAAAAATTAATTTCGAATAGAAATTCGAGTGCATAATAAATATTTGTTTCTAACCAAAAATAACTTAAGAAAATTAATAAAAAATTTCACAGAGCTCTATGCCTTACACTTGCAACATCTCTCTTCTTACAGCTTTTTTAAAGGTTAATAAGCCTTGGTTGTAATTTAAGATACTCTTTTCTTTGAAAATTAATAAAAATAAATTAATAATTAAGACCTAACTGCAAGAACCTTGCTTTTTAAGTACTCAAAGAAAAATAATATATGTTTTTTTCTAAAAAAAAAAAGAATAGCAGGGTCTTATGCCTAAGTCAAAGGATTTTAAATTTTTAAAAATGTATTAAATATCCACTTAAAAATAGGTAATTTGAAAAACGTACGTACGTACTTAATTTACCCATGCGCCTAAATGTATGCAACATTTAAATTTCTTTCGCTCCTTTACCGGTTATTCTTTTCTGAACTTTAAATAAATATCGTAACCTAAAAAAAAAGTATTTTGTCCTACATATATATGTATCTGATATTTAAAAAAAAAATTATTTCTAAAGTTATAAATAAAATATCGCAATATTTGGTGCCCATATTTGCTGATAAAACTATAAGATAAAATATATATATAGATACATTTTTTTATTTTACAAAATATTAATTAGGATTTCAATATAAAAAACTTATGTTTGAGTTTATTAATCCTTTAGAAAATATTTTCTTTCCATCGAATTTTCATACCATTAGATGGAATTCCACTTAAAGCTTCAAATCCTAACGAGCTCATCACATGCTTTCCTTGAAAATCTTAATGATGTTTTTGCGTTTTAACCAATTCATTGCCACAAATTGCATCCGACCGGCTAACGGTAGTTAGAAAAAAAAGCAACGGAAATTTCAAAACGTCGTAAAGAAGATAATAAAAGTCCATTATTTTAAGCACAACAAACCGCTCTGCACCGCCAACACTGCAAGGTAAAGAGTCTTTTATGGACTTCCTGCAGGGCGCCATTGTGAAGGACAAGCGAAGAACTATTAGAAATATACAAATGTATATGCATGTACATACATGTATATGTAAGCTAACTGTAATTTGTATTGCACTTAAATTATAAGTGAATTGCAGTGACGCTAGCGATAAGAGCAGAACAAAAGCTGCACCAACCCACTCCTACTACTGCTGTGGTTTGCGGCAAAATCAATTTTTTTTTAAGAATTTAGAAATGTATCAAATGTATGGTGACCTTATGTGGGACGTTAAGAAATTGCCTGATGGTCACTTACAGTCGTCACGAATTGAGGTTATGGCAAACAGTTGAACATTTTTTTGTGGTTTTTCAGTTGTATACATAAAAATTATGTAAAAATGATTGCTCACACTTTTGAATTAATAGTTTAAAAAAATAATAAATAATTAATAATTAAATAAAATAATAAAAAATAATAGATTTTTCGCTTAAACCAGAATTTAAGTATTTTTGTAATGCAAAACCATTTTTCACTGAATTTCTCTTTTACAATTTTATGTTCGTGCATATTGAAATTTATTTACATACAATTCTAGGTACATTGAGTGTAAATTTTCCAATCATAAATCTTTGCTGGCAATAAATACTTTTCAAAATTCCTATACTGACATTTCCGCTGGTTTGGATTCTGTTAAGTTTGGCGCGATCAGCTACACACGCATAGTGAGAGAGACCATAAATTTTGGAATATCAGATGCTCGGCGGAAATGGCCACACCTATGTCTGTTGCGCTGGCATGTCAAAAATTTTCGAAGAAAAATAAATAAAAACAAGAATTTAATTTTAGAATTGACTTGTTCTAAGTAGAAATTACTCATTACAATCGAAGAAAAATGTATTTTGATAAAGATTTGTTTAGGCAAGTCGATTCGATTAAAAACTATCACTTTTCTGGTTTTATTTATAAATATTAAAAAGTTTTAGTTTTTTTTTTAAATATGACTATATTAAATACTTATCCTTTTAACTTCTTACCTTTTCAGACGATGAGGACCTTACAACAACGGCAGCAGCGGCGGATGATACGGATAGACGAATAATATTTTTGAATCGGCCGCAAATTCAGAAGTTTTGCAACAATAACATATCAACAGCGAAATATAGGTGAGTTGAAGTGGGAAATCAGAAAGAAATTCATTAAAAAAATTTTAAGAAAACAATAGTAAAATTTTGAAAGATTATAAGTATATTTTAGATGCTAAATATTATTTTAAACTAAATAAAACTATGCTTAAAATAAGATAAAATAAAATAAAAAAACTAATATAAAAATGAAATAAAATAAAATGAAATTAAATAAAAATATAATAAAACAAAATAAAATAACGTAAGAAAATAAATAACGTAAGAAAATAAATAACGTAAGAAAATAAATAACGTAAGAAAATAAATAACGTAAGAAAATAAAGGTGGCAGTGGCGCTGGCGGT